CTAGCCACAGAGCAAGTGCTCAGCTCCTGCCTGCGAGCTGACTGTGATGATGGAGGAAGCCAGCAGGAGGCAAGGCGGCCCTGGAGAGCTTCCTCCAAACAGTGCCTCTGCTCTGCCTCCCAGGAGAGATGCTGGAGAGGTGATTGCAACAGCGCTATTCCCAAGAGTGTGCTGAGAAAGCCGGGAAGGAGAGGCTGGTATCAGGCAGGGAAGTAAAGTGGTTGCAGACTCACTGAGAGGTGCTGATGTGAGTCCAGGTTTGGGGGAAGGGCTCTGACCTTCATCTCCCCGACTCAGGCTATCCAGCTGTCTGCATGCATCCTTCCTAAGCCAGTAGCCTGACCTGCTGGGGGTGCAGCTGGAAGGGTTCACTGCAAGGTTTCAAATTTACACTTCTTCCCTTTCTTTAAATTAGGATAGCAGTTAGACTGATGCACCTGTATTCTTTCTATCTTTCACAAATATTTTTCTAGGGAATCCAATACAACTGAGAGGGAACTCGTTACCCTGGAGGTTTCTGGGGCTTGACGCATTTACAAACGGATGGTGTGTTTCTCCTGTTTCTCACCCAAGGCATTGGGTGCCGCCATCTTGAATGCACACCCAGATTAGACATTTGGCTCTGAGGTTGGCAAGCCAACCAAGAAAGGGAGGTAAGGGGGGATGAGGGATGGATGGGGCTGTGGGATGCAGGGAGTCGGGTCATGAGCCAGCACCGGAGTCAGAAGACAGTCATGGTCAGGTAGTCTCTTCTCAACAACAAGAACACCCATGTCCCCAGGGACACACCATCCGGAGAGTGAGTGGACAGCTGGAAGCAGAACTCAGACCTCCTGACGCCTACCCTCTGCTGCTCTTTCACCCCACATATCGAGGACCCTAAAATCCTCCACCCAAGCACGGGAGCCTGATTTCAGGACCTGTGTGGATCTCTGCCCCCAGGTCTGTTCCAGAGGGTGGACTGTATCCCTAGTACATACACCTTGACCCTAGGGGGACTGTCTAGAGGGGAGTGAGCAAGTGGGAGAGAGGTGGGCTGGGAGTTCACAGTGGGAAACAGAGGCAGGGGTAAGAAGAAAAGGGAGGCATCCCAGGCTGGAAACCAGTGCCTGTGCGTCCCCTGGTCTGGTGTGGAGTCCTTGAGTATGGGCCTCCATTCACACTCTTGCCTCCCTTTCCATTAATGTGAGGGGAGGAGCCTAATCTCTGATCTGTCCCCTCCCTGTCCTGACATGGGGCATGACCTTGGTTTCCCTTCTCATAGGGGCTGGCGCTGGGAACTGGTCAAGAGGAAGGATCTCTTGCCTTGACAGGAGAGAGCTGATCTACACTTTTAATATTTACAGCCTGGAAGAGGGATCGCAGAGACAGACATCTCCATCAATTGAACTTGAATAAAAAGGCCCAGAACCAGCCATGACTCCAGCAGCAGCAGCAACAGTGGAGCTATGGGGTGGTGGCTAGATTTCCCAAACCCTGTCTTCCTCACTTGCTAGTCTACAACCTTGGACAATCTCTCCAGGCCTTCATTTCATCATCTGTAAAATGAGGAGAATAGTAATACCTACTTAATCGGGTTTTTATGTCACATCCTTGATGTGTCCTCTCAGAGACAGAGAGGTGGGGGCAGGAGGGAAGGCTGAATGGGTCACACGAAGGGGTCTGAGGGGCAGATGCAACTCCCTGCAGCCAGGCTGAGGGGCAGGACAAGCAGGGAAAGCAGGAGGGAACACCGGATGCCACAGTGCACTTGCACAAGAGGAGGCAGGAAGACAGGGCCACTAGTGCATGTAGGGAGGAGGCGGGAACACGGAAGGGAAGAGAAAGGGAACATCCATCAGTCCTGCGAGGGTGTATATGCCACATACGCGCACACACGGGCATGAGCACACATGAGCATGCACACACGCCCAGTGCACACACTCGGGGGAATATTCTAGCTGAAATAGTTATGTGGATTCCTATCAATGGGTGTCACGCCTTCAGAACGCTGGGCCAGGCATCCCAGGCCTGCTGTTGGCCGCGGGCCCTGCTAGGAGGGGTGCTGTTTAAGTCTGCCTCAGCCCATCTTGCTCCCCAGTGTGCAGCCCAGTGCCCAGTGCACCGCTGACATGGTGAGATCTGTTGAAATGAACTGAACATCATTCCATCTCAGTGTGTTCTTCTGAGATCCCAAATTCACACTGCTGCCACACAAACCCAACTGTTCTCTCCAAAGCAGAGAGGAGTGACAGTTTGGCACTCTCTTCCAGAAAAGAACTCTTTGCTCACTTGAAGACTGTTACTGTGATTCACTTTAATTTCCCACAGATGACAGCCTTTTTCCCTCCCCTTTCTCACTCCACCAGAACACTGGTTAGAGTAGGTACCACCACCCTCCAGTCAAATAGAGGCCCGGCAACCTCTGCCCAGGGCTGGGATATAGGGGGTCCCTCCCTGAGACCCAGAGATCCCATCACTCCCCCTCACACTTTCTTATGCAGCCAACCACATTAGGTACCAGAAAAAAACCCTGCTTTGCTAGAAACAGATGAGGTAAACTCCTATCCCAGGGAAAGGGGGCAACAACATTCTTGCTATTTGTGACCCCCCATGAGCAGAGCCCACACACACAGATTGAGGAGAGAGGGAAGTCCGTTATCTACTTATTCTACAAAACGCCACTTGAGCAAATGGTGTCATCCTCATTCTCAGCCAACCCAAAGTAAAACTGACACCTGTGGTGTTTCTCTTCTCTCTTCCTGTCTGACTCAGGCAGCCCCTCCCGTGTCCCGCTGGACAATTTTTGGAGAAGTCCTGGCAAGCTGTAGTTTGGTGGTGAGAGGCCTTGAATGCCAGGCCAAAGGTGCGAATTTTTGCAGTAGACAACAAGGAGACACTGAAAGCTGTGTAGTGATGGAGAACGGTGGTTTGGTGACTGCATGTTGCTGGAGGCTGTGGTCATAATCTAACAGTGGTTCCCAAGCACGGTGGTTTTGTCCTCCAGGGACATCTGATCATGCCTGGAGACAGTTTTGATTGGCACGACTGGTGTGTGGGGGGGGTGCTACTGGCATCTGGTGGGCAGAGACCAAGGATGCAGCTAGACAGCTTATAGTGCACAGGACCATCACCACCACAAAGAGTGATCTGGCCTCAATGTCAGTAGTGCCAAGGCCGAGGACCACTGATCTGGCAGGAAGAAATGAATGCTGGGTCCAAGAGCAGCTATTCTGAGGGAAGAAGTGATGGGACTTGCCAGAACGGGGGATGCAGGAAAAAGAGGAGCCATGGGAGACAGACAGGACTGGAAGCACGGCGCTTAGGAGAAGGTGGCCACCTGGAGAGAATGTGTGGGGTGGTGAGATGGCCGGGGTGCCTGACACGGGCTTGGAGCCACCTGCTGGCTTGAATTTCAGAGGCGTTTGTCATGGTTGTGGACTCACCTGATCATGCAGCGTGGGAGATGAAGGGTTCAGGAGGGAGGTTTAAGTGTAAACCTGCCACCCCTGAGCCCTCTCCTCGGGTCTCACAGCCTCCTCCCTCTGAGGATAAAACCCAGCCTCCTCAGCTTGGGATGCGCCATGATGTGCCTCTTCCCTCCTCTCCAGCCTCACCTGCTGCTGCTCCCTCACCATCCCACCCTTCTGATCACAGTCCCCTGCAGCCTTTCAAAGGCAGCCTGCCTCCCAGCCCCAGAACTTGGTCCACGCTGGACTTCCCGGCCTGCCCTTTCTCCCCTTCCTGACCTGTCCTATTTCTACTCATCTCTCAGGATGCAGCTCATTTTCAGGTCCTCTGGGAAGATGTCTCCAACCCTGTGCATAAGCTGGATACCCTCTCTCTGCACGTCTATAGCATTGTGGGCCAAGCTCTATCCAGGACAGAGATTATATGGCAATGGCTGCTGACTTCCTTCTTTCTGCATTAGATCCCTCGAGGCGCCATGGAGAGCTGCAACTCAGCTTTCCCTGTGCATCTCCACAGTCAGCAGAGAACGTAGATGTCTGCTGAATGAATGAATGAATTCATGGATGGACAAAGACACAGAATTTGTGACAAAACAAAGAAGGTTGCCAAGGCTGGAGGCATGGATAAAACCTCCAAGAGACCATTTATAGAGAAAAGAACAGTGAATTGAGAACTTTGGTGAATACGCACTGTAGGGGTATGAGAGTTGGGGAGAGGAGCTGGACAAAAAAAAAAAAGACAACCCAAAAACCAGAGGTGGAAAGAGCAGGAACGCAGGAGAATCAGGATCACACAGTGTCTCCGAGCCAAGAAGGAAGTTATGAGATGCATGTGCTTTAATGCATCCAGAAGGCCAAGTGTTACAGAGGTTGAGACAGGCTGTGAATTTGTCAGCAACTTTTAAAGAGTTCCATCCTCAGAGGGAAGGACACTGACCCACGGTGCTGATGAATCAGCTAAGGCACAAGTAAACCTTTCTGAGGAGGGGCGAGGGAGGTCCCTCCAGACTTGGGGGGAAGCAGGAGATAGCACAGGGGGAGCCAGACAGGGATGATCAAGGGCCCTGCCCAGAGATGGGGGCGGCGGACAATGGGGATGGCTTTACCACATCTGATGCGACTACCTGGAAGTCAGGGTTAAGTCGGCGGGGAGACTCACAGAACGAGCATTGCGTCCTGGAGGCAGTGTCACCCAGCAGCATGCTTTTCTCTCTGCATCTCTTACTTTAGAGCTAGTTGTGCCACCCACCCTGCCTCACCCAGCCCACACTTACTGCCAGCAGCTTGGACACCAATGACACACTCATTGAACTCTTGCTAATTTCATGGCAATTTCCTATCGGTGCTAAACTGCCTGGTGAGGCATCTTTCAGAGAGTCCGTGCACTTTCAGGCCTAATGGAGTGAACCCAGCCCCAGAGTAAGGGGGCTCATGCTTCTCCTGCTCTGCTGTTGAGCTCTGGGTATAACTGACACCTGATGTCATGTAAAAGCAAGTCACAGAGGCTTAAGTCCATGCACACGTTCAAGTATCCCCAGCCAGTGACTTTACCTGGGACTTTGCATCCTTGCTTTCAATCTTGACACAGGGGCTTAACCTGAGGTTGGAGATCTCCTGGTCTTTCTGCTTTTGAGACTCTAGGCACTTCTGCCTCTGTCGGATATTGCCCTTCTGGATGGAGGCATCCTTAGGCACTCTAGAGGAAAGCCACAGGACGGATGAGAACCCACAGCTCTTTGGATGTAACACCAGCAGCCGCTAGAGAGGTCAGGCGGTGCTGGGAGAACAGCAGGGGCATTTTGCTTTGGTCTGTGTTACAATGACCTGGACTGCTCAGGGCCTGGGGGTGGGGGAGGTACCACTAGGAACAAGGCAGCAAGGAAAGACTCAGTAGTCTGGAGCCTGGACCGGAATCAGGGTCAGCGAGTCCATGCCCTGAGGTCACACCCCGGAGCTCAAACTCCCACAGCTAAGAAATTACTGCTAAGCCGACCTCAGTCTCTCATGCTACTGATTAATGTAATTCCTCTTCGGGTGTCAGGGATAAGAGGAGTTAACTGGTCTTCTCAGACCTCCATGTACTTAAAAACCCTCATCCAGATGGCCACAGGCGGTCCCCTCTCCAGACTGAGTCAGCTGAGTCTCCCTGCAGCCAACCAAGGCTCAGGCCATAGGGGAGGTACCTGAGTTCTGGATAGACATTCTCCAGGTACCACTTGAAGCTCTGGCACTGCAAATTCCTCCTCAGGTCCACTCTGCTCTCAATGCTGGGGTGACGGGGGTGGGTAGACACAAAGACAAAATATAGCTGTGTCAGAGACAGGTACCAGCCACACGCACCCAGGGTGGGAAGTGCAAAACACAGGCTGTGCTCACGCTCTGCGCCCACGTCTCTCCAGAGGGTGCTGGGGAAATCAACTGAGAGCTCCAGACAGAGCTATGGAAACACTTAGTGATATCTCACAATAATGGCACCGAAGATTTGTGCTTTTATTTGAACACAGAATTTGAGGGTGTTTTTTACTTTTCATTAAAAACAAGGCTACAAGCACATTCAGTGGGTTGTTAATAATTCACCACCGGGGCTCTGGGTCTACTTACTCACAAATCTCTCTTTGGCTTCAGATGTTGAAATACCATCCCCCTTCTCTAGACCACTCCAGCCTCAGAAAACCCTGTTCTTTAGCTGGTTTGGGGGCGTGGTCATGTATTTGTTCATCACACTTTTACTCCCATCCAAGTACTAACCAGGCCCGACCCTGCTTAGCTTCCGAGATCAGACGAGATCGGGCGCGTTCAGGGTGGTATGGCCGTAGACCATCACACATTTACTGAGGACCTATTATGTGCCGTTGTGCCCATTGTGGGATGTGATGGTAAGCTTTCAAGCAAGAGATGGGTAATGAATGAACCAAGTGCTCACAACCTGATGTGGACGTGGGCTGGGCCTGCAGGGGATATGGCAGCCCCTCAGAGGTGGCCCTTTGCTTGTTGGGGTTGGTGGTGGTCAGGTGGTAATGTGGAAGCTGGAATCTGGAAGGAAAGTAGACGTTGTCTAGACAAACCACAAAGTGGGTGAGGTGGTAGGCCCTGGTAAGGGCAGGGAAGAGCCACGAGAGATGAGTGTGTGTGAAGTGGGAAGGGTTCCGCTGGCAGGAGCAGCGCTACAGGAAGCTAGAATATGTATGGGAGGAGAAGAGAAGCGGGGGCGGAGGGAGGACATACACAGACCATAAAGGGTCTGGTGGAGGAGCTTGGGCTTTAAGGGCAATGGGATGCCAAAGACGGGTTCTCAGCAGAGCATGACATGGTGATGCCCGTCCTTTAAGAGCATCTTACTTATGGTGAACAGATCTGATGGGCAAAGCTAGGAGGGTGGATAGGAGGCAGCTGTAGAAACCAAGGTACTGACCATGCTTTCTGGCAGAGAAGTGGGGGCGGGAATGGAGAATAGGGACAGGTGTGAGTCCCTCCATTTCTCTCTGTCCGCACCACCAGTCCTGCCTGAGTTCCCTTTACACCTTGTACTTCCTGGGCAACCACACAGAACTGGCCCTGCCCTGTCCAGCTTCACCTCCTTCCACCCCAGAGATGGGACCAGGTGCTTTCAAGGGACTAGGACTTCTTATTCAGCACTAACCACATTTCCTCATCAGACTCTAATCAACAAGAGGGCAGGAATAACATTTTTTTAATGCTAAGTTTAGTATTTCTGAACAGTAAATGTTCAGTATTTGCAAGAACCCGGATGCTCAGTGCATGAATGAGGCAGGATCTCCAGGATTTGGTGATTGTTTAGATGTGGCAGTGCGGTCAAGGTTGACATGCAGATTTCTGGCTTGGACAACAAGATGCAAGGAAGAGTGTGCACGGAGATGGGGAACCTGGGGTGAGGGGCCAGTTCAGGAATGAAGAGGATGCATTCAGTTAGGACTTGCTGAGTTGGAGCACCCTGGGAGACACCCAGGCAGAGATGTCCAGCTGCTACTTGGATCCAAGGGATGGCACTCAGAGACAAGGTGCAGGTTAGGGATGGAGATGCGAGTGTGAGCAGTACACAAGCGGTGGTTGATGCCAGGGAGAATGTGGAGTGAGAGGAGGGCTTATGACAGACTCTCAGGGAAGACCAACATATAAGGATGGGGAGAGTCCCCCACAAAGGGGCCTGGGAGAGGGCAACCTGCACTGCGGGACAAGAGCCAAGCCTGCAGTTCTGGAAACCCAGAGGTCAGAGGTGCACCTGAAGGGGGTTAGGTGTGAGAAGACTCATACCAGTGGGGTAACACAGAGGAAGGTGAGGGGCCCCAGGGAGTCATGGGTGGGCCAGGTGGGAGTGATAGCAGGGGTGGAGGGCACAGCCTCAGATCAGTCAGGAGAGGAGCTGGGGGAGCGATGCAGGCAGCTTTCATGAAGCTTGGCTCTGAAGAAGCAGAAGACAGGGTGTAGGTGACAAGCATTGTTGGATTGAGAAAGAGTTCTTGTAGTTTGTTTTCTTTCCTTCTCTTCTTTTCTTTTTAAAAGCTGTGTAAGATACTGAATAAATTTAAATGCTAATGGGAATCATGCAAAAGAGAAGAGAGACTGGTGATCAGGGAGAGAGAAGGCGCACGGAGGACAAAGTCCCCTAGAACAGTGGACCCCACACTGTCTGCACATAAGAATCACCTGGTGGGGGGTGGTCTTTTACACATTCCATAGCCCAGGCCACAGCCCAGACTAAATCCACTCTCTGGGGGTGGAGTAGAGGCATCAGTATTCTTTGCAGCTCCCCTGGTGATTGCGATGTGCGGGCAGTTTGAGAACCATTGCCCTGGAACCTTGCTCCTGAGGTCCTCAGACCAGTAGCACAGCATCACCTGGGAGCTTATTAGAAATGCAGACCTACCGAGCCAGAATCCACATTTTAACAAGATCCCCAGGAGATCTGTGTGTACATTAAAGTTTAAGAAGCCAGCAGGCAGGAGGAGATGAATCTAGGCAGTAGGAACTCGATAAACGTTGATTTATGAGTGAATGTAGGAGTGAAGGGTGCATCTGGAGAACAGGTAGAGGGCTGCCCTGATACCGCAGGGGGCACACCTTGTGTGATGAAAGAGACCAGAAGAATGGTGCAGATACAGTGAAGTTTATAGGTTGGTGTGTCCTGGGAAGTTGATGCTATTTCATCTATAAAGCAGAGGTGTCATCTGCTATGAGTGAAAGGACGGGGGCAGATGCAGCAGCTGGGGAGAGCAGAGACGGTACAAATGGAGACTGAGAAGGAACGCTGGCCAGGCCAGGTGGCGGGACCAAGACATCCACTGAGGGCCTCTCTGAGACTGATGATGGCCACGGAGTGTTAGCAGCACTGGCTAATACCCAGAACTGCTCAGCAGCATGTGCCGAGGGGAGAAAAGTTCAAAGTCAGGCTCATCCAGGGTTGAGAGAACTTCACTTGGGAGTGTTGACAGATGCTCAACAGGGCAAAAGACCTGAGGACATCTTTTAAGCACTCTTTTTAAACAAGAGTGGAACCCAAGCTGGAGAAGGAAGGAAGTGAAGAAAGGAGGGATGGATGGACATGGCCAATGGACTGGAAGTTAAATGAGGACTCAGAATAAATTCCTGAGGAGGCTCTGATCAGGAGAACCGGAGGGACAGCGTGGGTTTACGGTTTTAGGAATACAGATCATTTTGGTGGGGTCTAGTTTCATCTTCTCGAGCAGTGATGGGCTCCACCTATGACATGGAGTCTGCAAAAATCCCATCTGCTCAACAGCCTCAGAATGACTGAGGGATATTAGATGACAAAAAGCCACTGGTTGTCTCTCCCCAAAAGGGGAAGGATAATATCAGTGAAGCTGCCATTTTTCTCGACTCAAATCAGCTCTGGGTTGGGGAACATGACATCATATTGTTTTGGAACCAGACAGGTGTGGTCTGAGCCTACTCCTGCAGGGGTGTGAGCCAGGGCAACTACCTTAAACTGTAAAAAGCCTCAGTCTCCTCATCTGTAAAACAGGAGTGATTATACCCATTTCTCAGTTTGAGGAGGACTAATGAGACATCTTATGTAATGGTATCTGGCATTTAATGCCCTTCCCTGTCCTATTCTATCCCTACAAAGCTGGAGCACTGCTCTAGGGGAGACCTCCTGCTACTGCTCCTCCCAGACAGGAGCAAGAAGGGACATGAAGGGAGAACAGCCTCAGCCCGGGCCCTGAAGAGACCACAGGCTTGGAGACCAGCTGAGCAGATAGGCCTGTAGGGACCACTTGCGTCGGGCCTGTGAGCCATGGCTCCTCTTAACTCTCTGCACAAACCAACTAGAAGGGAGACTTACTTTCCAAAGGGTCTCTCCAGGGCGAATGGCCGGGATGCATAATAGTACTGTTTGTATTCATCCATCCACACTTCGGCTGTCCGCTTGGTGTTCCTGGGGAGACAGGAGGTGTCGGGGAGGGGCCATCTGAGAGGGAGCTGGGACGCATCCAGGTAAAATACACACACTCGGCAAGCTAGCAGTGTCACCCAGGTGGGGGCTACCACAGTCCAGTAGTGCTAGTCTCCCCAGAGTGCTGAGCCTAGCCACGTCCACCAAGTCCAAAGGGGCCTGTACCCCAAGACACAGAATTTCAGTAGTCACGATGTATTCTTTCCCAAAAGGTACAGACTAGAGAAATTACACCAGAAATTGGACTTCTATGGCGCTCGACAAAGAAATTAAAAAAAAAAAACCACAGGGAGGAAAAAGCCAGGAGAACCTGGGGCATCCCTTTGGTGGGAGTACAAGCAGAGAATGTTGACAGTCTCTGGCCGCCCATAGGCTGTGGCTCCAGCTCCAGGTGTCTCCCCTCGAGCTGAGGGCCCAGCTGTCCAAGGGGAAGGTCACACTGGGTCTTCCCACAGGCAGGGAATTAGCTTGGTGCAGGTGTAGAGGATTAGGTAACCACCACACCATCTTGGTCAGATGTTTTGCCAGCTCCTTCCACTGGCCTAACCAACCCCAATCTGACATGCCCCACATCTCCCTCACCTCCCAATGACCCACTGGTGGTGTGTAGGATGCCCCCTGGCCAGGCCCCAGTCTCAAATACAAGGAATGTTCTAGAGCCCAAGGCTCTGCCCCCTCACATCTAGACTGGCCCCATTTCACATCATGGCCCCACCACTTGCCTACACCAGGTGTCCTCAGCTCACCTTTCCCTTTAAAAAGCCCAGAGCCCAGGCGGCCCTCCCTTTGTTCCCCGTTCTGCCGCCTGGGTCCTCATGGCCCTGCCCTGCCCACCACGGTGTTATCCCTCCCACAGTCCCCCCCCCCCCACCTGTCCATCCAGGGAGGAGAGAGACAGCCCAGGAGAAAAGCCCCAAAGAGGTGCTTGGCTCCTCCCTCAAACGGACCAAATAAGAGAAAAAAAGGCCAAGGGGGAAATCAACGGGAGAAATCACGCCAAAGAAAAGGGAGGGAGGGGGCACGGGCACCGCTGAGTCACTGAGTCCTGTTTCCCGGCAAGGAGCCCAGGGCCGCAGGCCCTCCCCAAGCCTGGCCCCTCCTGTGCACTGGCACGTAGGCTGGATCCACTTGTCCCCAGTCCCTATTCCCGAATCTTCCCAAGGGCCTTTCCCCTGCCAACCCAGCCTGAAGGCAGGAGTAGCAGACCTTCTGGAATTCAGCGGCAAAAACCGGCCGCCCTTCCCCCACCCTGAATAACCCCAAACTCTCGGAGCACTGAGCCCTGCAAGACAGCGTGACTTGAAGCCCCGGAGGCCACACATGGGGCCTTGTCAAGTCTGGAGGAAGCCACCCAGGGAGAACAGACGCGGAGCCTCCAGCCTAAAGCCGGAGAGACAGGCCAGGCCTCCGCAGCTGAGGCAGAGGCCGAGCGGGCGTGACACACCACCCCCATCCCCCCAGAACACTCAGGCAGCCTACCAGAGGCCCCGGGACAACCACAACCCGTCACCACAAAAGCCCTCGGCCACGGCCGCCCCCATGGAGCCCCTGCGACGCCCCCTTACTTTATGTACGTGTTGGCGTTTCCATCCGGGAAAACATACGGGTGCTTCTTCCGGAAGACGTGGCCCACTCGGCTGCAGGGCACGATCTCTAGGCTGCCCCCGCACATCCACACTCTGAAGGAGATTTCTGCAGGACAGCCACGCACCCCGCCATCACTGCTCTGCCTCCCGGACAGAGGGGGACACAGGATGGCAGCTTCCCGACACCGGGCGCCAGGTCGAGGGGAGCGGGGAGGGCCTGCTGCGCCCGGCCTC